ACTTAGGGCGGGCACAAGGTTTGTTGGGGCCCACAACCGGGAACACTTGCATGTCTGTGTACCCATATATGGAAAATGTCGAAAATAGGCCTTTTATGGATATTCAGGCCCGCCTTCACTTAGGGCGGGCACAAGCTTTGTTGGGGCCCACAACCGAGATCGCTTGCATGTCTGTTAGGACCCCGTGAGGGCTCAGTCCTCGCATTTTGTTCAAGATTTTTTTATTTTATTTTTTTTGCGCACTTGGCACACTAGTCGGGTCTTGACCCTACACGGTCCTGCCAGGTGGGAGCAGCTTCCCTTCACCATGCTGCCCCACTTAACCCTAACTTCCAGCCCTAACCCTGAGCGGTTAGCCCTTACCACTTAGGTTAGGGTTATGGCGACAAGGTCAACTCTCGCCAGCAAGTAGAATCCGCTCTGCTACCAACGTTACGATCCAGGCCAATTTCGAAGTATACATTCATAAGAAAGTACAATGTCGTCCAATTGCAAAAAGAAATGAATGAACTTGAGAGGAGAGAGAGGGAAAGAAGAAGTAGAAGAAAGAAAGAAGAAAAAAAAAACAAGAAGAAGATGATGTACTCCAGCATAGACCAAAGATAATGCTCTTCTTCGTCGCCAACCAATCTGCTCCTTATCTCCTCCCCTCGTATTTGAACAAGAAGTAACAATAATAAGGTTGAATGGCTGAACCAGAATCAATGTCCGAATCCCTCTTCTATTGTAGGCACAACATGAGGCCCACCATAGCCATGGCCATCCTTCTGATTCCTCTTCATGTAGGCCGAGGCTATGGCGAACTACTGAGGGCTCAACCCTCCTGTCCAAAGGACAACCCAAAACAGTTATGTCGTTGCCTTCCTGTGCAAAGGTCAACGCAAAGCAACTATGTCGCTGCTCATTAGGCCGCCATGCCTGTCTCTGCCCCGAGCTTCCTTGGTGCGCCACTACCCCAACTGGGGCCTCCAGCTGCAGCGACTATCAAGGTGATGAAGATGGTGTCCACCATAGCCAGGTTGGTACAGTGCTATTGTCCTCCTTGGTCCTCTTCTCCCTCCTTCTCCTACCGGTAGAGCTCCACCATAGCCAAGGTGGAAGCTCCCGACTTCTTCCTCCCAGCGGCGCTGTAGTAGCCAGCGCTCCCCCAGCCAATGCTCCAACAGCGTGTCGCCAAACTTGCACATTGAAGATTGAGGCTCGGCTCTTCGCTCAGCCTCTAGATATAGCGGCCTACTTGCCTCCTGGGCGGTGACTTCCAGTCCGCTCGGCCTGCCAAGCAACCCGTACCTCCTCCCTTTCGGAGGGAAACATCATTGCACTCTGATATTGCGCGTACATGCCCTAGACTCAGACTGGCTGGACCCGTACCAGGATAGACCTAGCCTACCGCCACTGGGCCTCTAAAAATGCCAACTTTGTCTTCTTCTGCTCGGCCTCATGTACTCGGCGCACATCTACTTCTACTGGGTGCGGTACCGGCCTACATGCTACTTGAGTGTTTTTTCGCTGCTCTAAGTGTCGTGGGCCTCTGGCTCCGCTTCTTGAGTGTTTTCCCTGCGGCAATCCTCAATATCACGGCCACAGGTAAGTACCGGCCCTACAGGCCTCCCAAACAAGCAAGTAACCTTGCGGGTCACACACATACTCATGCCGACAAGAACTCAAAGAGGCACTGAGGTCAACAAGCACGCACACATACAAACTTAGAAAACTCACTAGAATGCAGTGTCGAGCGCATCGGCTCCCGCCTTTTTTCTCGAAGTAGGCGGGAACCCTCCCGACCATGTCACACAGGAGTTAACAAAAAGCAAAACATAGAGACAACTCGGGGATGACGCCTAATTAATCCCGTGGACCGTCGAGACAGTTGCGGTCGCGTCGTCCCTTCTCCGCTCTAGCCGTGTCCGCCAGCTGTACATCCCGCGGTCCCCTACGATAGGATAGGTTTCCGCGGGGCATAAGCTTGCTTCCCTAAGGGGCTGTCACCACCCTTAGGGGCGTATCCCTATCGAGCTACTGACCCACGTGCAAAAGCTTTTACATGCAGTTGCAGAGGTGGGTCAGCCGAGGGCGTTTGCTCGCTCGCTGTAGTATAGATACGCGCGATTAAAACGCCTATTGCAACCGGACGTCGTCCGTTCCTTAGGGCGCTGATCTCCTAAGTACGAACGTACGCCGGTCGACTAGGACGGTCTCAAACGAGTGTAAAACCCCCAATATCCCTGTCCGTTTGGTCACCAGTTAAAAAGCAAGACATAACAACCACACATAGTTACAAAAAAAAAGAATCGACCGTAGTCAACATCAACGTATATCTAATATGAAATGATAACCGAACGAATCTAAATCATCATTAGATACATCCAATAACATAATATCAAAGTGAAATCCGACCACCCCGGGTTGAATTCCACAAGAATCATACAACCGCCAACGAGGAGTTGGCTTTCAACAATGCAGCCGACAAGGTAGTTAGTCTATCTTAGTTTTGACTTGATGAGATGCGCTGCCAAAGTTATTCATTCCATCTTACCTCCGACATAAGATTGAACACGCACACACCCGTCTGCATACGTTTCTCAATCTTCTTGGATGACGGGCTGTTTTGCGGATGATTCTTGATCAGGGGTATAGCTTGAGGTGTTCCATGTCTCTCACTCTAGGAAGTGGTATGGGGTACTCCTCGCCCGAGCACAAGACTCGGATCTCAAAAGTCGGGCCGTCTCCACCGAATCGGCAAAGTACCCCCCCGTAGAACGGTCCACTCTGGGTCAATAAAGAGGGTCGGCTCCTAAAGCAACGAACACCCGCCCCAGATGCTTCCTTGAGAGAGAGGATGTATCCACTGCAAGTAGCTTTTAATTATTCTTCTCTCCTATGTTTAGGGTAACTTAGACGAAAAGAAGACAGAGGAGATAAAGAATGAGAATCATTTGAACAGGTGCAGGCAGAACGGGTAATCCTGAGGAAAAGACTAAGTTCATTTGACCTATCTGCTTTATTTCAATCGAATTCATTCTACGGTACACACATAATTAACGTTTTTAAAATAACGAATCATTGTTAGCATGCACGCATGTGAGAAGTAAAAGGAAGACAATCATTTTCCCTTTTCTCAATTAGGCATAATCAATCTCCTTTGCAGGCATCCTTCTACCTACCTGCAGAACACGCAAAGACAATAAGTTCAAGAGAAAACCAGTGCAATCCCATGCTCAAGTCAAATCTTTCCAATCTCATGCACGATACGCACAACTTTTCTCTACCTTTTCAACGAACATTCAATGAACAAGGTCAAGCAAAGTGTGGGTTCACACGCGTGTGCAGGAAATCTGAGTCAATCAGCTGACCTTGAGTGAAGTTGAACGGCACACCCAAGAAAGCCGTATAGGTTCACGCCCTAGATGAGAAGGTTGTCGCAACCAATCGTCAGCAAAGTGATCTGCCCCACTCCTTTGTGACGACCGCCTGCCACAATACCCTCTCAATACACAATCACCTTCCAACAGTCTGGCGGCGCCTTCACGTTACCGCCACTCGCCTCCAATACTTTGGCGGCACCTTCTCTGTGCCAATGCGCCACCTCCACTCAGTGCAAAATATTGCCGTCACTGTCGTGAAACCAGTGTCGTCGCTGCAAAAATCCGGTAGCGCTTCGGCACCACCGCCGTTAAAACCAGAGTCGCCGCCGCAGAAATCCGGCAGCGTTTTCGCACCGCCGCCGTTAAAACTAGAGTCGCCGCCGCAAAAATCCGGCAATGTTTCCGCACCACCGCTGTTAAAACTAGAGTTGCCGCCGCAAAAATCCGGCAGCGTTTCCGCACCACCGTCGGTGTTGCCATCAACAGCCTTGTCGCCGCTTACCTGCTGCTGTGAAATTTCGGCAACATTTCCCCAGTATAGTGGAAAAATGGCTGGCCAAAATTAGTAAAATTTGGGCCTCAGGCCCAAATTCCACAGCGCCGTACAGTCGTAGTCCAACAATGTCCCTAGATCAGTCCCGTGGGACCAGCACCAGCCAGAGGGGAGGGGAGCAGAGTGCTCCCTACCTTGGCTATGGCTGCCTAGCTCCTCTCCTCGCGCGCCTCTGCAGAACTCCAGCTTCCTTCCACGTTGCCTCAGGCAGCACCTCCAACAGCCAGCAGCACTGAAGTGTGCTCGTCACACACTGACACCATGAGTGCTTTGTGTGGCAGCTAGGGGACAACTGCCTGTTTTATAGTGGCTGAGGAGGGTTGGACGTCACACCAGCCCCCAGGCAAAATCGCGGACTCACAGTGAGCCCTTGATCTGGCCAAGATCCAGGGCTAACTGTGGCCGCACCTCAGCCACAGCCTTAGTGAGGGCAGTTCCTTTAGCTGCCTTCTTTTTCTTTTTCTTTTTTTTTCCTCAACTATCTCGGAATTTCACGAGATAGCTGAGGTTCTGGCATTTTCAAAACACTTTTTCTTTTATTTTTTTGATAAGGGGTTGGAGAGATACAACCCCTTACAGTTCAATGTATCTAGACCCTTTTTCCAGGGCAAATACATCGGGGAAAAGGCTGTACTTAGCCTTTTACTCTATGGCCCCTCAATTTCGAGGTTCCCTCTAAAAACGGGAGTCTGATAGTTACCTCTGGCGGCTTCTGCCAGAGGTAGAACCACGTGAGGACAAGTGTCCTCACAAGAAAAAAGAAGAAACAAACAAAAAGAAAAGAAAAAATAAAAACTACTCTTACTGCATGTGCCTGGCCATTCTCTCGGCCATGTTCATGCAGTTGCATGCAACAGCCCTCCCCTCACTTTTCTCTTTCCTCCCCTGAAAACGGGGAAGGCAGTTGACAGGTTGGGAGGAGTAGGACCTCCTCCTCCCAACTCTCACATTCCCTCTCTCTCTCTCTCTCTCTCCATCCTCTCGCACGCACCGTGGGCCGCGAGATTCAAGATCTCGCGGCCACGGTTAGTTGTCCCAATTGAGGTGGGAGCCTTTGTGCTCCTACACAGTCCGAAGGACTGTTCTTTTCCCTCACGAGGCAGTTGCCTCGTTGCTGCTCTTTTTTTTTTTTTTTTTTTTTTTAAACAGTTTTAGGTTGGTTGTTTCAGCCTTCCCCGTTTTCCCAGCTTGGTCGTGTCCCAACGGCTACGAACGGTGAGGGGAACAAGGTAAAACCGAAAGAAGGAAAGAGAGAAAATAAAATAAAATAAAATAAAAAGAACTTACCTCAGTTGTCGAGCCAACGCTTCAAAGTCAGGAGTCTGCACATCCCCATGTCCGGGGATGGATTCATTCGATTTTGCTCAACCTATCGATGGAAGTGCCATGGGGCCAACTGTGGCGCCCATTGGCCAGCTCGTTGCTCTTCCTATCGATGGATGCCCTCCTCTCCCTCTCTCTCTTTCACACACACACACACACATACATATGTAGTTAGTGCACATGTGCGTGTTTTAGGGGTAGATTCATTCGTTCTTGCTGCCCGTTCGTCAAAACGAACGGGTACTAACAAAACGAGAGGGAGAGAAAAAACGAGAAGAAAAAAGAAATCTAATTAAAAATCTGAAAGAAAATCTATAGAAAAAAATCCAACTTACCTGAAATAAACGGCAGCCCGTTTTCAACGGGCGCCTGCTGCGTTTTCTGGGACACTAAGTCCCTTGTGCCTTCTCAAAGCGCCATCTGGCGCAGTTCGTTTCTCCCCCTTTTTTTTTCTTTTTTTTTTCAGTAATAAAGTCGTTGGCTTATGCCAACGACCATGAACTCTTGAAATACAGACCCGAGTTCGATTCCCTTCGGGGGAATCGAAAACTTTTTGGGCCATTTCTCGATTCGCGCGTGTCATCTTTGCGCAGGGGCCATGCTAATCTTGTGCGGCCAATCTCAGCCGCGCGATCTTCGTGATCGTGTGGTCGAGATCGACCACGCCTGCTGAAAGGCAGCTCCAAAAGGAGCTGCGCCAGTAGGTCATGTCTGCTTCGACCCCAGTATCTGCACGGTAAGAGTTTGACATGGTAACCTATTGGGCTAGCTCCTTTTCACGGAAGCTAAGCCTGCTACCCTTCTATATGAAGGGTAGCAGCCCAACAGGCTACCCAGCCATGACCATAGGCAGGCCTCGTCGGCCCCCTTTCTCAAAGCCAGTTGTGCCACTGTCGGCACGACGGCCTCCTGGTCCCGTAGCACTCGTGCTGCCGCCCATTCATCGGGCGGCTCACCCTGAGTGTGCCGCGGCCAGCCTTTTAGGCCACGGATACGGCACTGGCTATTCGTACGGAGTAAACCCCGCGGTCCAAAAATAATAAAGAAAAATGTCCCCTACTTTTTCCGCGTCGCGGCCCTATACTCGGCTCATCCCTCTTTGTAGCCTACTTTGGCCTAGAATCGCGCGGCGACATTATTTTAGGTAGAATAGGTCTAACTTTAGTGCTCCCGTGTTTGCGTGCCTCTGCGGCCTCAACAAAAACGAAGCATTTCCGATTACTGCCATTACTCTCGGACGCCACAAGCGTCCGGACTAAAACCCAAAAACTTTTAGTCCTTCAATCATAGGTCAGGTCTGAATAAACTTTTGGCAACGTCAGTCTCGTCAAGTCCTTTAATTTGACGAGAGGGTCGCACAACGTCCGACGTTTAAAATCCCCGACAAATACCGCTGTCAGGGTATTTGCCCCGACAGCAGGAATCTCAGTGAGGCCTCCATGCCATTGGCAGAACTTCATAAATCAGCAGTGTTCTCAGTCTTTGTTATGGCGGGTCATTACACTGCACCCCCTTCAAGAGCGAGGTCCCTTCGAGGGAGTAATTCAATCAGAGTCCCTGCATAATGCATCATAAGCATAAATGGCAAAGAGAGATCGGGTATGTTCCGTAGGAGTGAAGGTAGTGGTGAATTTAGGTTGCTATTCGAGCTAATAAAACGTTCATATGCGTTGACGACTCGCGGGGCACTCTGCAACAAGTCTTTCTTAGCAATCCAGTAAAAATCATTCAATATGTGATATAGAAAATGAACTTTGTATTGTCAGTTTCTCCCTTTTCCACTTTGCTCGACAATTGTATTAATCTCGTGACCGCCATCGGTTGCGCGAGGAATCATCGATTCTCGGTACAAAAAAGTTTCAGGTGGCTCATACAAAAACAACTTCGATGCGTGAAAGACTGGGTACTTGCGCAAATGAGCAGGCACGTCGATCGTGTAGGAAGGACCGAACGAATCATTCCCTACCTGGTTCAGCACCTTCCACGGACCGTAATACTAAGGAAGAAGCTTTCGTGGTACACCTTCTTCAGAAAACTCAGACATTTTGACCCACACATAACCTCCCACTGTGAAAGGTTCAGGCTGGCGCTTTTTGTTAGCATGCTTAATCATGGCACTGCGTTGCTTTTCCATAGCTGCAACAACAACCTTGAGCAAGCGATCACACTTAGCGTTGTAGCCAGGCTGGCCAGGTGTCAGGCCAGGTGGCAGATTAGGAAGCAGTTAGGATAGGGGATTGCGAATCTGCCACTCGAGGTGCAACTGATTAGGTGTCATCCCTGTTGAGGAGTGTATGGAGTTGTTGTACAATCCTTTTACAATCGACAATTCCTCATCCCAAGTGTTCTGGTCATGCACAATTAGAGCTCGGAGAAGTTGGATCACAGTCTGGTTGATCTCCTCGGCCAGTCCATTGGCTTCGGGATGTCGACCAGACGTCATCTTGAGTTTGATGTCATAGATCTAGGAGGTGAAGTCCTTCCAATCTGCACTTATGAACGTAGTGTCCTGATCACTCACAAGAGTCTTCGGGGGCCCGCATTGCAGAATATACCTCTTGTTAAACTCCTCGATCACAAGGTTAGTTGGGGCGTGAGGTGGCAATGGAATCAAATTCAAAAATTTAGAAAAGCGGTAAATGATCACCATTACTTGCGAATGTCCGTTCCTGCTCTTCTTTCCCATGTCCGTGAAGTCGATGGAAAGAGACTCACCCGGACCATCAGGGATAGGAAGAGGATGTAGCAGCCCATAGGGCTTTTGCCGAGAAGGTTTGATGCGTTGGCAAACTTTACACTCAACCACAAACTTTCGTGCCATTCCTTTCATCCCAGGCCATACAAATTTTGGCAATAGACTTCCGTATGTCTTCTCGAAACCGAAGTGTCCACTCCGGCCATGAGCCAAGTCCAAGAAGTGAGTACGGATGGGCTCCTGGTTGGGTACACACAGTCGGTTGTACTTCACGTAACGTCGGAAGAGCACACCTTTACACTCATGGAAATCAGGCTGACTGCTAGGGTCAGCTTGGATCTGCTCAAGGATGGGATTGAGTTCCGGGTCCTTGGCAGTATGCTCAACTAGTTCCTCCTCCAAATTCTTATGGAGATCATAGGAACCCACAAGGCAAGTCATGTACTCAGGGTGGCGCGACAAAGCATCCGCAACGCGATTGTAACCTCCTTTCTTGTGGTTAAGTTCAAAATCATACACATCAGTCTCATGTAGCCAACGGGTGAATGTAGTTGATGGATTAATCTGTGTCTGGATCCATTTCAAAGTCTTGCGGTCTGAGAACACTTTGAAATGGCGACCCAAGAGGTAGTGTTTTCTCAAGGCATATAGTTCTCGCATGTAAGTGGAGGCAGTTACCTTATGACTGGGCATGCGTTTGCTGTAGTACTCAAGCGGACGTAAGCCGTCACCATCCTCTTGTTGCAGCACTGCACCAATCCCATACAAGCTTGCATCCGTAGTCACTGCGAATGTAAGTCTGAGATCTGCAATGCGGAGCACCAAATGACTCACCAAAGCCTCCCTTCAATGCTTGGAAGGCGGTTGTGCATTCCCCATCCCACGTGAAGACACGTTCTTGCTTGTTAATTTGGACAGCGGACGAGCGATGATAGAGAATTTGGGCACAAACTTACGGTAGTACGAGGCGAGACCAAGAAAAGAACGCAACTCTCGGACATTTGTCGGTTGTGGCCATTTGCGGATGACCTCAACTTTGGTTGCCTCGGGCTCTAGGCCTGCAACATACAACCGATGTCCAAGGTAGATGATGGTGGCCCTCCCAAACTCAGATTTCTTGAAGTTGAGATGGAGCTACGCATCCTTGAGGATCTGCAATACTTCCTCAAGGTGTCTCATGTGCTCCCCCTTCGACTTGCTGAAGATTAGTATGTCATCCAGATAAACAGCACCAAATCGATTGATCTTACGGCGGAACACCTTGTCCATGAGACTCTAAAAGGTGGCTAGTACATTATGAGATCGAAGGGCATGACGGTAAACTCGTACAACCCATCGTGAGTTTTGAATGCAGTTTTGTGTTGGTCTCGACTTCGATCTGGTGGTAACCAGAGTTGAGATCGATCTTGCTGAAAACCTTGCATCCACTTGCAGCATCAAGCAGATCATCAATGCATGGCAAAGGGTACGCATCCTTTCTTGTTATTCTATTTAGTCCGCGGTAATCGATACACATCCGTAGCTTGCCTCCTTTCTTAGGGACAAACAAAACTTGTGCACCGAATTCGGATTCGCTTGGCTTGATCCTACCTTTTTCAAGCATGTCATCGATCTGCCTTCGCAACTCTTCCAATTCACCTAAGCCCATTCGATAGGCACAACCCTTCGGAGGAGTGTTGCCTTCTATCAACTCGATCTTGTGTTGGATCGGACGCACGAGAACTCCATGCGGTTCATCCAAAACTTCAAGAAATCTGTGGATCTTTGATGGGATCTTCGGAGGTGGATCATCAGATTCGGGTGCAAGCATACCAGATTGCATAGGTGTAGCCAAAACAACAGGATTTGAAGCAGAGTCGTTTGGACTAGAAGTAAATTTAGTAGAGGTAGAAGTAGTTGCATTAGGAGTAGAAACGACATGCAAAGTAGAATCATTATGTACAACAAAAATAGAAGGCACATGAGCAGGTCTTACAAAAGCTATTGTTACGATCCTGGTCATTTCCCAAGTGCAAATTCACAATGAAAGACAATGCCACCCAATTGCGAAAGAAATGAAAGCACTTGCAAAGAAATAAAGACCAGAGGACAGAGAAAGAAGAAGAAGAAGAAGAAGAAGAAGAAGAAGAAGAAGAAGTAGTACACCAGCAAGACCAATGACAATTCCCCCTTCTCTCTCTCTCCACCTTCCTCCTCCTCCTTTTCTTCACCAATCTTATTTTTCTCTCAACAATAATAATAACAATGAATGGATGAACCAGAATCAATATCCGAAGTTCCTTCTTACTGCTGACTCAACTCAACAATAACAACAACAACAACCAGTCCACCATAGCTATGGCTTCCCTCCTTCAACCTCCTCTCTCATGCATAGGCTATGGCGGACTACCCCAAGCACCTAGGGTGCTGCGCTGATGTCCAAAGGACAACCCAAGCAGCTATGGTGCTGCGCTGATGTCCAAAGGACAGCCCAAAGCAGCTATGCCGCTGCTGACTTGGTCC